TAAAAGCACTTAAATAATCACTCCACAAAATACATTAAAACAGTAAAAAATTAATAAAACATTCAAATAACCGCACCATAAAACACAGTAATAAATCCGTATACACATGTACAATCACTTAAGGAAACACATTAGTAAAGTCACTGATACTTGTAGAACCACACCATAAATTTTATTAATACACCCCCATAATTAATAAAAAATAATTATTAAAGCACATTAAACACTAGTAATAACACACTAGGTACACTAATATATCCGTATATGCATGCAGGTAACACACTGGTTAAGTCACTGACACTTGTAGAATCACACCATAAAATTTGTTAATACACCCGCATACTTATTAAAAAATATTGATTAAAACACACTAAACACTTATTAAAGCACAGTAGGTAATACAGGGACAAGCACAATATCGGTAAAGTAAACCCTTGACTCGTACCGGTAAGTGTTGACAGGGCCGATCCGACCTCCTCGTCTTCCAAAACAAAACTGAGCAGCGGCGACCTCTTCAAGTGTAAGTGCGATTGGTAGTTTACAGTAGCCAATTAGACATCACGTAATCGACCAATAGATCAAATCGAAGTGCAAGAGCGATTGCTAGTGTACAGTAACCAATCAGACATCATATAATCCACCAATAGCGTGCAGCCACTCTCATTGGTTGCTGTATAATTATTCTAACATCATATTTTTTATAATTTTATATTTTTTGGTAGTTTATTAACAAATTTATTGTTGTAATTATTTAAATTTATTAATTTTTTTTAACTTAATCTTGCAGATATGTTGCAAAATGATTATTTATTAATATACATATATGTATATATCGTGAATTATATAAAGTAAATTATATAATATAATGGGAATAATATGATGGAATTTAGGAGATTATTATATTTGAAATAACACAAAAGCACAATAACTTTTAAAACACTAAATGAATTTATTATTTAAGAAAAACGACTTCGAAGGACTCTTTGAATAACTATATTTTATACGTGTGAAAATTATAATATCAGAGAAACAATAACAAAGAAATACATGGATTTTATTTTGTTAACATACATAGATCCGATAAAAATCGAGCGGTATCTTTCTCCTTTGTTCTTGCAATAAATATTGGTATTCATATAACAAATCGGCTGCAAACGTAAAAAATAATAATAATCATAAATAAATTTAATATTACTTTTATTATATATAATCTGTTGTATTATTTAACCCTTTTATTCTCTTTCCTGCAATTTTCTTCAGATTTATTTTTTTTTCCTTACTAGGGCCTAATGATACCTTATATTTCATCAAAGTGTATATGCTACTGAGGACTTCTACGGATAGCTTACTGCGCATGCACTGGGACTGCCCAACACTGCTACACAGGTTTGAAACTGTACTTTCGTTAGTTCCCTTACGTTGCCGCTAGATGGCACCACCTGGTCCTTTTTTTGTGGCGACTGTACCGACAGCGACACATGCGCCCTCTGGACAGTTCCTATTTTTAGTTACTTTTTATTTCTTAGGTTAAGTTGTAAATAGTAGTTGGTAAGACTAGTTTATAAGGAACGCGGCGCGAAAAAGAAGAACGTCGTTCTTCCACTTCTTGTACGAAAGAAAAAGAGTCAGCACGTGCGCGTCTTAATAAAAAGTACAATCCTTGCAAATAGCGAAAAAAGTCGTCGTACGTCATTTCCTACACTTGCAAATAGCAAGAAAAGTCGCTGTGCGTCATTTTCTACACCGGGCTCTTCTTCACGAACCTCAGTCCCCACATTTTTTTCTGAAAATTCAAATCATATTGATTTTATTGGCTCAATTTGGAAATTATAAAATATATTGAAGATCGTGACTTCTGAAATGCTTTCAACTTCTTAACTTAATGATTTTACAGTAATCCATTGTTTTTTTATATCTTTCTGACGTATTAAATAATACACCTGTTATAAATGCAAACTTCAATGTAAAATCTAATTGTAAGAAGTCATGTACTTATGTTCTGATGCGATTTCTCTTAAGAACATCAAATTTATTCCTGAGTGCAAATCATATAATTTGTAGTTTAAAAAAATGTAATGTCATTCGCTCGTATTTTTTACAAAAGTTACATAAAGTATATTAAAAATTCTCTATCACAAATCATAGTATTATATTTTTTTGAATGTCCTTTATTCTTTGTTTATTTTTAAAAATTAATATTGTGTAATATTTAAATTACAATTCGATTATATAATCGATAAAGTTGTACAGCTAAATTCAGGCCGTATAAGATTTAAAGATGGCTGCAGTTAAAATAGGACCTCATTTAAAAGAATTGCGAATTCTTTTATGTCAAACATCAAAAAGTAGTCAGGGTGTTAGGTAATGATAATAGTAATCGTATAGAAGTTAATATTTGTTTATAATACGTGATTCATTGATTTCAATTTGCAACCTAACCTATCAGTATTTTTCAGAGATTTTATCAGTGCACAATATGTACCTCTTAAAAAACAGAACCCAAATCTTCCAGTTTTGATTAGAGAATGTTCTTCAACTGAACCTTTTCTGTATGCACGATATGGTGAGTGTTCTTTTGTATAAATCAATTTTAATTTTTTATACTGTATTATATTTTTAAAATACTTGTCATTTATATTTTAGAATACGGCAAAGAGCAATGTGTTTCCCTGCAAAATTTAAACCCTGCAGAAATCCTTAAACGGATTGAAGAGCTTGCAAGTAGTAAACCACAATAATATTTATAGTATAAGTGTATTTTAATTTATTCAAATATAAAATAAAGTAGTTACATAAATTTAACAAATAATGTAATAGTACTTTATAGTTCCTGTAAGCAATGTTCTGTACAAAGAAAAATATCCTGCGATGAATAAATTTAATTGTTTCTGCCACATCATAATTTTACAAAGTTAATGTATCATTAATACGTTTATTAGCTGTTACCAAATATTTAAATCTTTTATGTTTAAGAGTTTATTGAGTTGAGACTTTTTAATATTATACATGTCTATACAAAAACTTATATCAATATATTGCAGGTTTTCTAAATTAATATTTAAGCAAGACTAAATAAAAAATCCATGGATTAAATATGTAAAAATTTCTCTTATTAAAAATGTAAAAATATCACATAATGTTTACGAATGAATTATTTTCAATCGATATCATGCTCAAGGTAAATAAATGTAATGTCTGTTCAGATTAACGAATGATTACTGAAAATTATTTTGATGACATAATACTTCTGTCAATGTGACTTTCGTAACATCTTTTTCAACTTTATTTAAAGTGAATTATTTAAACATTTATTTTGTATGTACTAACTCTTCTATTCTGATAATAGAATTATGAATATATTTATACATATTTGTTTACTTAGGTAACAATTTTATTTTACCTATGTCCACATTAAATCATTCTCTATATGCAAGATTGGAAAGATTATAAAAATTATATGATAAATTAGGTGGTAAAAAATTTTGTAGAGACGCTGGCATCGTATTAAAGTATGTCGCATTCCTTTCACGGAATACTGTGTCTGGTACGGTGGTACTGGACGCATCTGGTTGAAAACTTTGAACGGTACTGGTTGGAATAGTTTGGGTAATTGGTTGCGTTGTTGGCGCATGGGAAACGGTTTGTATTACCTATGGATGTTCCAAATACATTTTATAATATACATAGATTTTCTATTGCAAAATAGATGTAATACACAATTAAGATAAATGTGTATGCATCTTACTTCCCGATTAAAATTAAATATTTTATAAAAAATAGTTATTTACCTGAACTGTTGATGATTCTGCGTGAGATATAGAAAGAGAAGAATCTGAAACATTTGACTGAATTATTTGTGACTGTTCCGATTGCTGCTGCTGTAATTGCTGTTGCGATTGTTGCGACTGTGTTAAATGTTTTGTATGCGATGTATTGATTCCGTGTCTGCGTTTCATATGTTTATTATAATTCGGCCAATTCGTGAAATGATGTTGACATTCCAAACAACTATATGGACGTTCACCGGTATGTTGTCTTCTATGCGTCTGAAAATAAGTTGAACTCTATTATGTGACCTTATTTTAAATGATGGTAAATTAAAACGATCTGATTAACTTACAGTTAATATTCCTTTAAAACGAAAACATTTACCACAAAATTCACACGTGAATGGCATTGCTCCAGTATGTATTCTATGATGTTCTCTTAATGTACCTTTCTCTCTAAAAGTTCGTCCACAAACAGCACACTGATGTGGCTTTGCGCCAGTATGAACTGTCTCATGTTTCTTTAACTGTAGTGGCGTTTTGAAACTGCAAGTTATGATAGACATTTAAGTAGAAATACATTTACATCATACATTTAATCAAATTTAAACATACGCTTTTGAACACTGTGTACAATTATATGGTTTATCTGCAGAGTGCGTTAAGAAATGAGCTTCTAAATTTCCTTTTTGAATAAAACTTTTGCCACACTGATCGCATGTAAAGTTTCTGACACCAGAGTGAATACGTTTATGAGTAACTAAATTTGGTTTTGTTGAGAATCTGAAAAATATTTTTATATGCAACGATACGATAACACATGTTTTTAAATTTCACAGTCATACCTTTTGTCGCACTGATCACACGGAAACCGATTTTTCATAGTATCCGGCAAATGACACCTGCTATGAATGTACAAAGCACTTTGCTGCCTAAATGCTTTTCCACAAGTTTGGCATACATGAGGTCGTTCTTCGCTATGAATTGCTTTGTGAGAATCTAATACTTTTTTATGTACAAATGACTTTCCACAATCTTCACAACTAAGAGTATATACATATACATGTATACATGTGTGAGAGTATAAAAACTAATCAGTAAACCAAGATGATGTTTACCTGAATTTTGCCTTGTTTTTATGTCGCTTAACATGAGTAAGGAAACCGTAATATTTATCATAAATTTTGCAGCATAACACACACATATACTTTGCTTGCTGATTATGAATAGTTTCATGATGCTCTTCTAATCTTTCTAAGCTAGGTAATTTATCATCGCAATCGGTGCAAAGCCAGGGATATCTATCTAAATTCTTTCCTTTCTTAGAACCAAATTTTGATGTTTCTTTTGTATGTGCTTCTATGATTTCCAGATCTGAATCTGTACCTGTAATAAAACAATTATTTTTTAATTCGCTACTTTACTTTAGACGCATATAAAATTTTAATTATACCTGTCATATAGTTATCTGGAATTTTAATATTAGTTTTCATGCTTATATTATTGGATTCCTTTTTCAAATCAGAATTCATATGCATATCTGAATCTTCAATTTTTTGATTCTGAGTTTTTCTTTTCAACTTTTTTTTAGCCTGTTTGAGAGATGTTTTCTTGAGTTGAATTTTACATTTCTTTTGTTTTGTAGCATCCTGTGACTCTTCAGCTTCATACTTTTGATAATTATTGTTTTTATTCTCTTCAATAAAATAATTTCGCGAGGCATTAGATTCGTGTATATAATTGTTTGATAAATGGCATTCGACGATCCCTTCTCCAACTTCTTCAACCTTTGGAAATGCACCTGATTTCTCTATATAATTTATGTTTGTCTCTAACGATCTCGATTCAGTTTTAGAATCAATCAGTAATTGCCTCAGAGAAGTTTGTGCTTGATTGGTTTTCTCATAGAATTCATTACACTGATTTAATAATATACAACAATCTATACAAACTGTAAGTGGCAGTGCATCATTTATTAATACCTGTAAGAGGTTTCTCAGTTTAATATTTATATTTTAATGAAATTTAGTGAAAGTTATGTAGGCTGATTCTATTGCTAAGAAACCCAAATGGTTTTTTACTTAATTTTGATGTTTTTGTTTTGATAGATGCATAGCTATGTGCTGAAAATATATTATGAATCATATATCGACTCCAAGGTTTCATAATGCAAGTTACAAGATTTGTATCTGTGTATCAGACTTGAAAGCAATTTATATCAATGTAAGAATCACAATACCGCTTTAATGCATAAAAAGCTTGAACTCCTATAGGTAGCATTATGTAAATTATTGTACTGATATCATGTTGATTGTTTATGTCAATTATATTACATCAAGAGGAGACAATCTGATACTACTGCAGTTTGAAAAATAATGTTTGGGTTTTATAGCAGGGGATTCACCTTGTGTTATAAATAAAACAACAGATTATTAACTTTGATATGTTAAAATCGATTACGATAGGAAATGTTTTCACCTGAATTTGTAAACATTTAGCAATTTTAGCTTCAATCGCTAATTTCTGTCCTTCTGCATCGTAAATTCCAATAAAATTTTCTTTGGTTTCGGCGCAGAGCCGGCAAAGCTCCGGCTCTGTCATTATTCACACATAAATCTGGGAATCTGTATCGCGACACAGTACATTGTCAAAAGAACCGTAAATGCAATCACATCATCTCACATTTACGTTGCAATGCATGGTAAATAAACGATTAGTACGGACGCTATAAAGGATAGCCGACATGTTGCTTTCTCGTGTAAGAAAAATAAACTGCTTCGATATGCGTACAAAGAACTATTTAAACATCCACTTATTTCAATGCATTTATGATTAGCGATGATAAATAGTTAAAAGACGATTCATTCGATAGCACAATTATCATTATGTTGCATTCGAATAGAAGTATACGATTACTTCATCACGTTTGTTTAGAAAAATTGTAAGGCTATATGCGTATAGGCATACGTAGATATCACTAGAAATTACTAGGGATTTTAAAATCATGTTACAGATACGCTGTTTAACCTTGAGATTTATAGACTGATAAATAATTACAAACATTTAATGGTGAACCTAGAGCAGGTGGTTCAAAATTTCAAAATTGGCTCCAGGATGTTGACGGGATTCCCCTACTCGATGTATTTTTCTTATGATGTCGGTAAGTTTTTTTTTTAAAATACTTATGTAATAAGATTACTTATTTAATATATGTAACATCGCTGTTTTATACAAAGATTATAATATATCGTACACACTCATTTTTTGTTTGTTACGCAAAGTATTTATTGTGCAACTGTGTTTTTGACAAATCATATATTGACGTTACCGACGGATACAAAATGGTGGAATTCTCTCGGTAAGTAAGAGCAAGTTTGAATCACATTGTTCTAGAGATTTTGTTTCCCATTCACCGCCATCTTAAACAATAGGTGGAATCACTAGATCAAGAATAAGTTGGCAGTTCATAAACAAAACAATCTGGCGCTAAAAAGGAAAAGGAAATACCGTCTCCCGCTCATTCGCTTATTTGTCGAAGTCCACGTTGCACCTAAATGTACTTTGGGAACAAACAGGTGACTCAAGAGGGACAGTGTGCTTATTGGTAACCAATGAATGAGTTTCTCTTCCAAGAATTTTTCGAATTCAACTCGCGCCGAACCTATACTTCATCGTCGATGAAAGTAACAAAGAATAAGAGTGAGTGAAAAGGTGGACCGGGGAGGGGATAGAGATAGTAATTGTAGGGGAGCATGGAAAATGTACCTGCTATAAATAAAATAAAGGCACTGTCTCTCCGAAAGAATGACATTTTTATGTATCATTTCTTCAAAATAAATTTTTAATTTATTTAAAGAGCTGTTTGTCTTTTTTGCATTAATTACGGACGTATATCAAAGAATAAAAAGAATATATACAAGGAAAAGCAATTCAAATGTGATTTCAAAAATTTCTATCGAATAAACAGGATACTAAGCATAAATTTCAATGTATACAATTTATTATTTTTATAAATGAAATCGTATCCGTTCAATCGATGTGGTATACTTTTTAGGTTTTCAGGTCACCTACATCACCTTTTGAAATTATTGTCTAACGGTACCTGTAATGTTCTCAATTACTAAGATGCTCGTATTTTTAAGATGGTATTTCGATAAGCAATGAAACCAAAAGTTTGTTTATTGTACATTATCGTGTTCGTCAATTATTTAAGTTCTAATTAACTAACATTTATAATAAAAAACGTTAAAAATCATTTCTGTGCTAATTCCTTATTCATATTTTTATATAATTAACTAAATAATTTAATGTAACACATTTTCAATGTTGTAAATATGAATTAACAAAAATTAATACTATAAATATTTTTGTACATAATAATATATGTAATTTGAAATATAAATTATTCAAATAAAGTAATTGTTTAAATAATTATAATAATATTATAAATTTGAACTTTATAAAAATTATTAAGCAATTTACAAATTCAAATTTTTATAAATCGTTGGGATATGTTTTTTAAATTATTTTTCTTCAAATCTACAAAGCAGAAAATATACTTTTTAAACATTTCTTTATTTTACCTATGATTAGAGGTGAGTAACATGTTTTCGTCGTTTTCACTTTCATTCTTCTGGAAGAGTTAGAAGTTACTCTTTTGTGTATTATTTACAGAGAATGAATTTGTTTACGATACAATTACGATGTTACTGTTAATTAACAATCTATATTACAAAATAAATTGATCGAATAAGGTAAAAAAATTGATCCAGACGTTTCTTAAAAATGTTTACACAGTCCTAGAGGTTCTGGCACAATGTCCTCATTGCATATATATATATAGGGGTACTTCTTAAGAAAGTGCGGCAGTTCTTCAGAGAACGTCTTCAGGTGAGTACTGCTAACACAATGTAATAAAACGATGTCGACGTTTAAACCGATATTTCTAACGTTACAAACCATACCTATTTTTATTTAAACTATTATTGAACAATTAATATTTAATGCGTTTTAGCGTTGCCATTTTTTTTAAATTAAATTTCAAATCGTTCTCCGTTTCAATATAATAATTAACATAATTTAAAATATTTGTATTGTTTGAAAAATTCGAATTTTTTATAATAAATTTTAAATTTATAAATATTATTTCGTTCCGTTATTTTTAGAGTTAATTTAAAATAAATATTTATCCACGAGAAATCCCGAGTTTTCCTTTCTGATTAAATATGAGGGTCACGACATATTTTGGAATGTCAATGTTTCGTTCAGGGACACATTGTTTTCTTCAACATTCCATTCAAATTAATAGCGATATTTTTAACAAATTTACAATTATAATTTCTTTTTTATTCAAGAAAAATGTTGCGATTTATTGTCCTTGGAGCACTTGTTGCTTTAACGGCGGGTCAGTTTCAACCGTCTGGAAGGATTTTGGAACCTCCAATCCCAGCCCTTTGTGCACAAAGTAAGTGATTTTTATATTTGGAACTTTTCCAAAAAATAGTAGGGTGATCTTTTTATAATAACTGAATCCGTAAAGTTTTTAGAAATTTTAGAATGTTAAATTTTCTAGATTTTGTTAATTTCAAATTATCATAATTATGTAGTAGAAATATGAAACTAGATAAGTTGTGATGTTTTAGGAGTTATTCATGAACGTTTTAATGGCAAGGGTTACTATTATTCATGGGCTGATCCAAGGACAAGTGGACAGGAAGTTGATTGGCTAGCAGGAAGAAATTTCTGTAGACAAAGATGCATGGATCTTGTTTCCTTAGAGACATCTGCTGAAAATGAATTTATAAAAAGCCGTATCGTCCAAAGTATGGCAGTATTTTATAATTGAAATAACTTAGAAAGATAAAAAGAAAAATGTACAATTGATAACTATTTCTAGATAATGTCAAATATATTTGGACATCTGGCCGCCTTTGTGATTTCAAAGGATGTGACAGACCTGATCTTCAGCCTCTTCATATTAATGGTTGGTTCTGGACTGCGGAATTGCAAAAGCTTGCTCCAACCACTGATCGTTCTCAGAATGATTGGTCTGAAAGTGGAGGGTAATTTAACATTATTTTTGCTTATAAATGAAGAATTCTCTCATTATAGTATTTTAAATGAGTAACTAACAATATTTCTAGTATTGGAAAACCGCAACCAGATAACCGTGAAGCTATCCAACAAGGAGGTGCCCCTGAAAATTGTTTAGCTGTGTTGAATCAGTTTTATAAGGATGGAGTAAACTGGCATGATGTCGCATGCCACCATAAAAAACCGTGGGTGTGCGAAGAAAATGAGTCGCTATTAAAATATGTCCGTTTTACTAATCCAAACATTCGTGTTTAATAATAATTTATGTCATTTTTATGATGCAAGGACATGACATGGACACTATATTTAATGAAAATGTATGGTTAATCATAAAAACTTCCTATTTCATGTTATGGTCATATATTATTTATAGTACCTGCCATGGGTAACCACAGGTGCATTTATATTTAAACATACCAAATCTATGTTAAAGTATGTAACAATGCGTAGCTCGAAAAGATAGATCTTCCTGTTCTGTTCATTTAGCGATAAGTCATTTCAATTGCACATCACATTCTCATGGTAAATTAAATAGTTGTACAATTAAACGTCTTCTACTTTCTTTTATAATTATGCAGTACATTTTCCAGATATTTCACATAATTTATGGGAGAATAAGTAATTATAATTAATTAGTTTCACTATGTAATGTAGGACATTGTTCATTGTTTTAATACTTCTGAAATCTGCTGATTTCCAGAACATATTGTAAATGATCTTATGTTTGTAAATACATTATTTATGCTACCTGATATATTGATTATTCTCATACATGAAACTTCATGCTTTATGCCTTTAAATTGTATAAGGGAATGTATTATATGAAAAACTGAAATATACACTCATATACATTACCTATGTACTGTTTATTTGAAACCTTCCACCATTATAATATGATAACCAAACTTCGTTTTAACTGGTGGGTCTGTATAAACTGGAGCACCAATAGTCGATGCAGGTAAAGCAAACGCAGCTTCTTGAAATGGACCAACCATAGATCCCCTTGTCATCCAACCAAGATCTCCCTATATCAATTATTGAATACCAGTTACATATTTCCTATGAAATAAATATAAAATTTTAAATAAAATTACCCCAGATCTTGCTTTGTCTTCACTATAGGCAGCTGCAACTTCATTAAACTTTTGTCCAGCTTTCAATTTCTCTAAAGCTTCTGTAATCTTTGATTGCTTTTCACAAAGAATGTGCCTAACCTGTACAAAGAAAAGGAATTATAATGTAATTTTACATGAATACAATAATATATGAACAAACAACATACTTTTACTGCATTCTTTCCTCCTTTCTTTTCCCCCTTTTCACTACCACCTTCTGCTTTTTTAGATTTAGAGTTCGAAGCATTTGCGTTCTTTTTAGGAGGCATATTTAAATTCTTCTCTCACGTTGTGCTCAAGCTGGAAATAAAAATATTGTAAATTTTGAACACATTTAGGTAGATATAGGTTATGTACAAAAGTATTCATTAAATTATAATTGCAAAAAATGAATGTTTTATTACAAACATTATAATATCAGGTGTTTTAGTTTAATATTATATTACAAGGGATGAAAGAAAATAACATGTTTGTAATAAATATAAAATTTATTTACTCTCTCTTTCATCAGTTTTTAATCATCTGATGACAGTTTCAATCGACATAGATGTCGATTCTTAATCGAGAGCGAAATTTAAAATATGCAAAATTAACATTCATGGGAAACCTGTCAGTATCAAAAGAACGTTAAACAACTTTCCTCTGAAACACGTACGCTTCCTAGAAGATGTTAATAATCGGTATTTGAGAAAGTTTAGTTTGACTAAATTAAAATGCTAAGACAGTCATAAATTATGCTCGAAATACTATTTGCCTACTTTCTCACACTATGCGCGGGCCTCTCCCAGAATATATTATATTACTTCGCCACCCAAAAATTTAGGCGAAAGTAAATATAAAATCACAGACGGAGTATAAAACAGGGGTATAAAAAAACCTCAACTTCTATAGTCGTTCATTATATATGCATCTTCCAAAAATATCATTGACAAAAATAACTACTTATTTATGGATTAAATTTATGTAAAATTAACGTTCATTTTAATAAAATTCCCATTGAAGTTAAGATTTTGTATAAAAGTATTATGATGATTTAAATTATGAAAAAGATATTAAAAACTGTAGTTTTCAAAGTAATTAATTTAAAAAGTAGAAAGTATGAAAGTCGCATTCATGTGTTTTTTAAAATTTATATTTGCGCGCGTACTTTATGAAAATGTGATGACACCTATTTCCGTTTAACCGTTTTGCCGGAAGGTGTGTTTTCGCGCGTAAGTGAGTTCATTCTCTTGCAGAACAGACTGTGCTATAGTCGCATTAAAAATAGTGAGCAAAGACGAGTAGATTATTATATGATCTCAATGGAAACGAAATAATTCTAAAAACTGAGAAAATTTTATAATTTATGCATCAAAAACTGTTCTCGTAGATGTTTCCTTCATTTGCAAAATTTGACGTGATTTAGAGTATGACGATTTTCTGAAGAAAAATCTAAATTGATTGGTTTGGTAAAGTTAAAACATTCCAAAGTTAATTAGCTTTGCACTCCGATATAATTTAATACATATTTTAGCAAATTAAGCCAATAAAATCGATATTAATTGCATTTTTACGAAAATGGAAACAGTGGCGCCATCTCTCCGGCGAACAGGGTGAACTACACGGTTTTGAAACTGTAGTTTCATTAGTTCTTACATACTACCGATAGGCGGTGCCACGCGTATCGTTTTCGGTTCAATTCAATTTATATAGTTAATTTTCTTAGTTTAATTGACTGTAATATGAATTGGCAATACTTATGAAATGTTCTAAAAGCACTAATAATGCCGTCTGCAGCGATTATTGTCTAATTAGTCTAAACAGAAGTCATTGGCCAATACTTTTGAGGTAAGGTATTTCAAATTTAGTTCAATTAGTTCACAATTTCTGCCGCTAGATGGCTAAGCATTTTAACGTCCATGAAACGAAATTAAAAAAATTTTTGGTTTCAGGAAATTTAGCGATTAATGATGGAATTATTTTGATTATGCTGAGATCACGGAATATTCTATTCAATCTTAGGAAGTGTAAAAATCATTAATTTTAAAGAAAACTACAATTTTCTGTGTAATTAGTATTATCGTTCACCGCTATGGGGCGCTACCGGTACCATTTTGAACCATATACGTGTAAAACGATACAACGTGTTTAATTTTAAAAAGCATGCAAGAATGAAACTTTCCCATAACTTATTTTAACAAATTAAATAACAATACTTTAAGAATATAAATAAAAAGAAAAGTTCAAATACAGAAGAGTTAATTTACACAAATGAATTGCATAAATAAAGTGAGTCAGAAACTATTTTCAATCACAATTTACAATTTTATTATCAGATAGCAGTGACAGTACCTTCTTAAAAATAGGTTTGCACAGTACAGTATTCTTTCTTTTTGTTCTATATTATCTGTATCTAATATACAATATTATGTATATTAAATATTAATATCAATTTTCTCTGCACCCAACTGACAACAATATTGCATTTTCGATTTCGTTTCAGCCGATAACGTCTGCTTGATAGGACACTCCACGTCGCTACATATTTTGTCTTCTTGTCCATGGCAAGTACTATCACAGTTGCATTGGAAGCGAACGATCCGTATAACATGCAGATCTCCGACGTTCGTGAATGTATAATAATTTCCGCTCTTTAATTCCAGTAACTCGTCCTGATCATTCACGGATAAAAACAACAAATGTGTGTTGTTTTTAGCAAGAACTTTGTGTGGGAAAATAGCGGCGTGTTTGTCTCTTATAAGTTTCAGGTTTTTCATTTCTATTTCTGCTGCCTGTTAAAGAAATTTGTAAGAATGAAAACTATGTAGTTAGAGGTTAGCAATGATGAGTTGATCATGTTAAAATCTGAGGTTAACATTGTCAGATCAAAGTTAGTAACAAGTTAGTAACATCCCAAGATACAGTTATATATTAGTAGTTATTATTATATTAGTATTATTATAATATTATTATTTATTTTATTATATTATATATATTATTATTATATCTTTATTTTCAAAGTGGTGTTAGTCCATTTTCATTTATTTTGAGAAAATTAAAGGTTAGCATATATGTCAATGAAAAAATATAGGTTAATTACATCAAAATTAGCAATGACTCTATTTACACAATAAATTTATGTAAATTAACTCTTCTGTATTTGAACTTCTGTATTTGAACTGTATTGTTATTTAATTTGTAGAAATAGATACAAACAATATTCAGCAATTTTTTTACTGATTGATCAATGTGTAATTTGATTATACAAATTTGTTTCAGGTGATTTAGTTAGAATAATGTATATTCATGCAAATGGACTTACACCACTTTCATAATAAACGGTTCATATATATTAGTATTATTATATTATATTAGTGGCTACTATTATATTAGTATATTATATTAGTAGCTATTATTATATTACTATATTATATTAGTAGCTACTATTATACTGTTATATTATATTAGTGGCTACTATTATATTACTATATTATATTAGTAGCTACTATTATATTATAAATTACTAGCTATACCTAGCAGTCACTATACCTATCATCCTATAACATATTAATTTCTTACCGTCTGTTCCGTCCTGCTGCGATTTTCGTCACAAATTTTCCGCCATTTATCTCTCGCAGCGATATACGCATCATTCGCCTTCTCGTACGTCACATAAATATCGGTCCCCAAACTTTTATATCCAAACGCGCCAACCATGTCAGTGTTGCCATCCCTGCCATAAGAACTACCCCCCGAGAACCAAACCGTGTACTCCCTCAATATCGGCTGCTGCTGTGTACGTACGTTCCAAAATAACGAGAAATAAAGAGCAAGTTCCTGATTAGGTCCTCCATTTCCGGGCGTAGGACAAAGATTAACAGTCGGACGTCCTCCCAACAGAAGGCACAGTCCCAAACCCCACTGGTCCTTCGCAGGAAATATTTCCTGCACCTTCTTATCGGTCAAAGGGCAAACAGGACTTCCTTTCATCGCCTCGAACAGATCCAACTTGTCGATTTTACCTTCCACAGCTAATATCATCAAGGACGCAATTTTAACGTATTCCTTGGCAAACTCCTGGATGTCCCCGTAACAAGTGGAATTCAGTTTCACAGGAAACAAGCCGGCTCTGAAGACTTCCGAAGCCATGCACTGCATGGCGTCAGCGTTGCAAGCTATCACGTACTCGTGCACGAATTTATATTTTTTATTTTCGTCCAATTGTCTGTCGGCAGCCATGGTCCACGGAACGGTTTCCTCTACTAACTCTCTTACGGACAACGGCAGTCTATTCAAGAGTCTGTATTTGGCGATAATGCCCAGGGCCGCGTCGTCTTTCGGGTCGTAGATGCAGGGTCCGCCTGATATTTCAGTCATTGGCTTTGAGGAGACGTCTGAGGTGATTAGGGTGATCACTCTGGCTGGATAAGCGAACCTTGCTAAATCTCCTCCTGTGTTAAATATTTTGTAGTTTAGAATACTTTTAGATGAGTGTCAATCTTTCTGAATTTTTAAGTCTGAATCTTTCTATCTGAACTCTGTTAAAATATCCTTAGGCTCTCTTTGGTTGCAACACCAAACAGATGACAGGACATAATGGGCCTTTTGTGAAATTGAGAAACTTCGGCAATCCTTGTCTATCCTGTACGAAGCAACGCTAGAGAGACAAAGATTGCTGAAGCTTCTCAAGTTCGCAAGAACCAAAGTTAAATCAGAAGTGTCCAGCAAGAGAAGCAATAATATGAAGTAATTAAATTGTAACATATTAACATTAATGTTGTTATGTAACATATTAAAATTAATTTTAGCTACCTCTAATTGCAGACAATTTGTTTCTCACAATATTTATTTCTTCAGGAGTTGCGTTAGCGTCCTTCAACCTATTTATCACCCTAAGTTTATCCCTCAGGGAGATCGTATCCCTCGGACAGCATAGAAGATCATCAGTTCCTTGCGACAGCATAACAATCAAAATATCTCTCTTCTTCAATTTTTTAACGTAATTCATAATTTTTCTGGTCGCATCCACAGTTTTTTCGTCAGGATCGCCGTCAGTGCCAGCCTCCACATACGAGATACGACTGTCCAGTCTGGGGAACGCTTCCGGATAACTCCACATCATAAAAATTGATTTCCGAGGCACCACCATCCATCCCTTCTTCAGCTGTTTACGGACGATACGTTCGAGGGCTGCGCTCATCGTTATTGCTTCCTTACCCCAGCCGACCAAGTGCAAATTGTTCCTCAGCCTGTATTTAACGTCTTTGATCGTCAGCGTCGACTTGCCGTCATACTTTATCTTTTCCGGTATAATCACTGAAGTGTACACGCACTTTATGCCAGTTTCGATAACTTTGTTCAGTTCTTCGCGAATCTACAATAAGGTGAGGTTAGGTTTAAGGTTTAATTCGCGGTATAAGTTTGGGTGTATATTTGCATCGTAGGCTTCTGTTAGTTTAGGGGAAAGACTTTTGAAATTTGTCTTTGATAAGGGAGAAGCTAAGGGAATCCCAAGAAGAGCTTAACCTAAATTCTCCTGTACACAAAGGTCGAGTAAATAATTACAGATCTTTGTTAATGGGAAAAATAGGAAGACCTCCAGCCATTTGCTTTTAGTCCCGCCATTTGCTTTGGAGAGCAGAGGGAGAGCCTTCCCTTAATACCCATAAAGATAATATAGATAAATATAACCAGTGATGAAATATTCCTTCCCCTATACATAAAGGAAACCTATTTTGCATTTTAGTTACAAAAACCTGTAACATCTCTTTGTCGCTACCCGTTTTCTCGGCATCCCTAGCTGCTTTCTGACGCAATCTTTCTTCCTTCTCAAGACGCGCGTTCTGTATTTCCATTTTTTCTCGTCTTCTCCTCATCAGAGACAGGTTGACAGCGTCTATGACTCTTTGACGTTTCGCTACGATCAATGCGATTCTTCTAAGTCTTTCTTCTTCCTTACTTGTGTCGACGATTTTTACATTTCTTTTCGGTTTTTTCTTTTGGGCCTTTGGATGCATGTTTGTGATGAAATATCTTTTAACTGAGGAGTGTTACATGTTTGAGTTAGACGTTAAGTGTGGAGGGTCTTTAGGCGGATACATTATGGTTGCTTGATAAACATTGTGCCGGTTATATTTTTTATTTCGGGTTGTGAATTGAGGTTGGTTGGGTTAGGTTTAGATTAAGTAAAATTGTAAACTGTTTGAAGTTGGTTCACAGGTTTCAATTTATTAAAAAAGTGAAATGTAGAAGGAAGTTTGGTACCCATCAGCCACCACTAGATGCCTACATCAATTTTATAATTTTATAATTTTAAATAATTTATCATAATTTTTTATTTCTACGATACTATTTGAGTTTCCTAATAATCATAGAAGATCATATTTACTTCAAAAAACCGTACAAGTCGTTTATTTTTCAGAAAAAAAGTATTATTCGGTTTCGTTATTTTCGCCACGTGCCGCTAGGTCGCAACAGTGACACACATTCTTAAAGCGCGCGAATTTTAAATTTAAAAACGTAAAAGTGTGTGTCTAACATTTCTAATTACGTAATAAATTTTGAAGTTCTCCTATACGCTCTAAAGTAGCCAACGAAAATATTTTAATAAAAGAAGAATTTTTTCAAAGTACAGCAACGAACATAATTGACCGCCGGTCATTTTAACTCGCTGATTAATTTCGCAATGGAATTCGACGTTGTTGAAGAGGACCGTTTAAAGAAATTCCTGAAGAAGGAAGATCGCATGCTTGGAAACCATCCTCGATATAATAAGAAACTTCGGGTTGAATAATACCGGGTTATATTTCTCCGGACTGCGCGACAGCCGAATCTCGTTCAAGGACCTATTCATCGTCTCTCGTGCAATTTCTTCCGTCGACTTCCTTTGTCTCTCAAGAATAAAACCACGAATGTACGTTTAAGATACAATCAGATGCTTTAATCTGATCAGATGAATATCCCGCTAAGAATTCCACATGGGTCAAAATAACTCGTGTACTCCAAGTTCGTAAATACAGTTATGCCCAATATCTAACCTGCACATTACCCAGATAAGATAACAAAGAACGATCCTCTGAATATCTTCGTTCCCAAACGGAAACAGGAAGTGTCCCTCAGAAATACTTGTACAAAGATATCTGTTTGACATCATAAACGACAATCGTATTCGAACATCGAATCCACATCTACAAGGATGATACTGCGACGAGGAAACAAAGAGCGCGATCGTATCTAAATGGAAAGCAGAGCGACGGAGAAGGAAGATTACGGAAAAGAAAAATTGACAGAGAGATGGTTCAATCGGGTAAAAAAGGGGAGGCTGTATTACTACCCTCTGATATCGGGGACGAGATATCGAGGACAGTTGCCGGTAGATTTTCGAAGCTCCAAGCTATGTACAACCGCGTGCAACGTTAACTTCAGCTAACCTTTTCAGTCCCAACTGTATTCTAAAACACATTACATACATACAATAATCTTCAAGTAGACATAAATCGCATAAACATAAACATACGCGAAACTAAAGGATCTAAGTTTGATAGAAATCTAATATATTTCAGTCAAAAGACGTGAAACTGCCTTTTACATCTCTGTTTTATTGCACAGTCGGTACTTCGGTAGCACATTAAGGGGCGGAGCTTCGGAACAGTTCGGATACCATTCGTCCCTTTCACCGCTGGGTTGCCGCTTCGTAAGAGTTCGGCCAGCGCCGCCACTTCAGACTCCGCCTACTTAACGCAGCTGTGCGTCTCCTGTTACGTAGGGCGGGGCAGGCGAACGGCCGACGGTAGCCGAATTCTCCCGAGGCTGCAGCCGAGTGGCTACGCCTGTTTCCTAGAGTGGCGTTCGTTGCACGAGGGTGTACAGAGATATCGACGCAACCTCGAGGGACTCGGGGAAGCCCAGCGTGGCTAATGGGCATGTCATTTCACGAATCTACGAGCATATAAAACCGAGAACTCTTTCGGTTGTGTTCCAATTCCCGTGACGTCCCATTTGACCCGGTATCCTTATAAAACGAGTCGTTTTAAACCTACCTTAGATCCTTAAGTTTTCGAATCTATCGGAATTCCTCGAGGATTCTTCGGCTTCGAGATTGCGCCCAGTAATTGGAAAGCTCTTTTGCAAAAACGTTTTTTTCCTGTCATATTATGGGCCAAAGGGATCTGGAAAAAATGGTCTTCAAGTTTTCGGGTCGAAGGAAGGTTCGACGATTACTGGGCCGCGGTATTTTAAATTCGACGAGCGTTGCTTGATTCCTGCCACGGTGTTTCGACCCAATCCGATCCCCATTGTCGGAGTTGAAACACTCTTCTAATTTTTGAGGCAATGTGGACCGCGGAACGGAGGGTCGACCTGTAATTCAACCAAACTTCCCTAATTAATCAGACTCCCAATTAGTCGAAGTAACGAAGGTCGAATGGTTATGGGCCGAAGAGGAGCAGGGAGGAAAGACGAAACAGTTCGAAAGGAGAAGAAACGACTGGCGATGGAGGGAGGGGAAAATAGGAAGCTGGAAAGTGGTAGCAGTGAGTCACGTCGATGTCGATCGACAAACGGGTTGCCCGATTTCCCTCGAAATTACGTTTCGCGTCCTAATTCGAGACAAAAACGAAAAGGAATAACCCGAAGATGCGCTGCCCGCGTTAGCAGCTCACCTTTAACCTCCGGCGTTGTTAACGTCGATCGCATTCGACACATGCATTCGCTTTGTCAGGTCATTCCGAAAGTCTTTGCACGGTTCGCTGACATCCGCCGATTATCCGAGTGACAGCTGCCGATTTTGATGACATTTTCGGATGATGTAGAGCCCGAAAAAATATTCGACAGGTATTTTCCCTTTGGTCGTCAAACGCGCTGAAGAGCTAGTAGCCCTCAAATTTGAAATCAGAGAACGTATTTGGTAGAATTTCGTTGCACGAGGGTGTACAGAGATATCGACGCAACCTCGAGGGACTCGGGGAAGCCCAGCGTGGCTAATGGGCATGTCATTTCACGAATCTACGAGCATATAAAACCGAGAACTCTTTCGGTTGTGTTCCAATTCCCGTGACGTCCCATTTGACCCGGTATCCTTATAAAACGAGTCGTTTTAAACCTACCTTAGATCCTTAAGTTTTCGAATCTATCGGAATTCCTCGAGGATTCTTCGGCTTCGAGATTGCGCCCAGTAATTGGAAAGCTCTTTTGCAAAAACGTTTTTTTCCTGTCATATTATGGGCCAAAGGGATCTGGAAAAAATGGTCTTCAAGTTTTCGGGTCGAAGGAAGGTTCGACGATTACTGGGCCGCGGTATTTTAAATTCGACGAGCGTTGCTTGATTCCTGCCACGGTGTTTCGACCCAATCCGATCCCCATTGTCGGAGTTGAAACACTCTTCTAATTTTTGAGGCAATGTGGACCGCGGAACGGAGGGTCGACCTGTAATTCAACCAAACTTCCCTAATTAATCAGACTCCCAATTAGTCGAAGTAACGAAGGTCGAATGGTTATGGGCCGAAGAGGAGCAGGGAGGAAAGACGAAACAGTTCGAAAGGAGAAGAAACGACTGGCGATGGAGGGAGGGGAAAATAGGAAGCTGGAAAGTGGTAGCAGTGAGTCACGTCGATGTCGATCGACAAACGGGTTGCCCGATTTCCCTCGAAATTACGTTTCGCGTCCTAATTCGAGACAAAAACGAAAAGGAATAACCCGAAGATGCGCTGCCCGCGTTAGCAGCTCACCTTTAACCTCCGGCGTTGTTAACGTCGATCGCATTCGACACATGCATTCGCTTTGTCAGGTCATTCCGAAAGTCTTTGCACGGTTCGCTGACATCCGCCGATTATCCGAGTGACAGCTGCCGATTTTGATGACATTTTCGGATGATGTAGAGCCCGAAAAAATATTCGACAGGTATTTTCCCTTTGGTCGTCAAACGCGCTGAAGAGCTAGTAGCCCTCAAATTTGAAATCAGAGAACGTATTTGGTAGAATTTAAACGTTTCTGGTAAAAAAGTGCGCGGGTGAGGGTGGAATCGAGCGGCATATGGCTGAGTGGATCACTGAACCGACTGGACATGGGTCACCGAATGGACTATACTAAATATTGTACTGTATCTATGTATGCTATGTTAATACATATGTGTGTATAACATTGTACTTTGTAGGTTTGATAGTAAAGAACAATATGTAGAGTAATACGTGTACACACTTATATATTCTATTTTATGTATAGTATTATATTATAATTATATTATTGTATATTTACATATTATTATGTCATATAATTCTGTGTTAGTACAATTCTATTAAGATTGTATAATAAATTACTGTATAATAAAATTCTATTAATAGTGCATAATACTGTATCATTTATAGAGTAGCTATTGAGCGGTAGACCCATATGTGGACTATAGGCGTGCTAACTATGGTGGACCTATGAAGCAGTAAGTCAATAGAGTCACTAATTCCATACACTGATAGGTCCATAAAGAAGATGGTCAAGTGGGCCTATAGTAGTAGGTTCATATAGCAAGCCTATAGTATAGTAAAGTCATACAATAGTCAAACAATAAAGTAATGGTCCTATAGCATAATAGTCCCATGGTGGGTTGTGGAAGAAGTGGATACAATGATAGAGCAATGGAGCACAATGATGGAGCTATAGAGTAGTAGCCCTACACTATAGTTGGTCTATAGAGTAATAGGTCCATGCAATAGTGGATCTATAGAACAGTAGGTCAATGTAGCAGTGAGCTTATAGCATACTATGTCCATCCAATAACTGAACTATAAATTAGTGCAACTATAAAATGGTGGGACTATAGACCAATGGATCCATAGAGAGATGGGCCTATGTGGTACTAGATTAATATAGTAATGACTCAGTAAACTAGATGGCCTATATAATAGTGGGTTTATAGAGTAGTAGCCTTGCACTATAGTCGGTCTATAGAGTAATAGGTCCATGCAATAGTGGATCTATAGATCAGTAGGTCAATGTAGCAGTGAGCTTATAGCATACTATGTCCATCCAATAACTGAACTATAAATTAGTGCAACTATAAAATGGTGGGACTATAGACCAATGGATCCATAGAGAGATGGGCCTATGTGGTACTAGATTAATATAGTAATGACTCAGTAAACTAGATGGCCTATATAATAGTGGGTTTATAGAGTAGTAGCCTTGCACTATAGTCGGTCTATAGAGTAATAGGTCCATGCAATATTGGATCTATAGATCAGTAGGTCAATGTAGCAGTGAGCTTATAGCATACTATGTCCATCCAATAACTGAACTATAAATTAGTGCAACTATAAAATGGTGGGACTATAGACCAATGG